GATTAATTAAATCAACATATTAAAATGGCAAAGGATAACACTGCTGCAGAAAAAGCACAATAAGAATACAGTATTCCTTAAAATTTAAAGTAATGTCTAAACACTGGAAACTTAAAGCAACTGAAGCCACTGGTTTGTCGGGCTCAGTATTAACTACAGTTACTAGGGTTTCAGACAGCAGTTTTCCCAGGTCTTTATTGAGACCAAGAGAAATTAATTATACTTGTAGAACATGGGCCTCTCCAAAACTTGAATAAGTCTTTTAGAATATAGTTTCCAGATTTCAGTGTGTATTTGTAGGTAGAAATAACAGAGGGCCCATGCCCCTGTCAAGAACCTTAAACTTGGTATTTCTTTGAATGTATGTAAGTAGAAACTACACTCAGGTCAACCGTCTGTAGGTATCATTAATAGACTTTGCCCCTGTCCTGATTTTTTTTTTATGTGGACGCCCTTGGAGACTCCTGCAGTCTGTGTTGCCAAGTGCCACACAGACCATTTCTGGGGTGTTTGTGTGTGTGTGTGTTGTTTTGATTCCTGTTTTGTTTCTGGGGTGTTTTTTGGGGGGTTGTAGTCCATAAAAGTGATTTTTCCTGGTTTTTAATTAAAATGTAATACCTGTCTTGATCAAACTTCTTCCTAAACTAAACAGAAACATATTTTTCAGATGCCATATTCTACACACATTAAGAATATAAAATCATTACCTCTCTGGTAGATATTTTGCTACACTTTTTCCCCCTTGATGGATAAATGATCTCAATATTTACTGGATGGCATCCCCAGGAAAATTGTTGAGAATTACAGTAAAAATTCAAGCTTCCTATTAAGACTCTAGGATAATTTATGAGGCCTGGCATTTAAATGCAATACTCTGAGAAAGTGGACAGAATTTTGTTCAGATACATTTAAAGGCTCCACCAAGGGCACAACACTTCGCAGAGCACTTAAGCTAATAAGTCTAAAGTGAACTACATGTAAGCTGTTAGTGTAGAATCTGTCACTCAGCATAGGTGGTATTTTGGAATAGGAAAGGAAAGAAGCCAAATTGTCTATATTCTGTATTGAGTATGTAGGCCTGTGAAGTAATATATCAACCTTTAATAAGAACTACTCCACCGGAGGAACTAAACCATTTCTCCCCCAGGAAACTCACATTAGATATAGCAGCCAAGTTTTTAATGAGACTTTTACTTGTTGCCTAGTTTTTGAGCAAGGCTGATGAAGGTAAAATAATATGCTTAGCTGCAATTGTGGCAAATAACACACACACACACACACACAGAGAGAGAGAGAGAGAGAGAGAGAGAGAGAGAGAGAGAGAGAGTCATACAAGAGATACTAAACTAATAATGAGAATGCTGGGGTTGTAATAATGTAAAAGGCAATTTTAATCATGAGTGCAGGTATTGTGCAGGAGCAGTGACCTTTTAGGAAAGAATGGTAAAGTCAACTCAGTTGAGGAAATTATGAATTCTGTAATGCCCACAAGTATGCCAACAGACTTATGTGAAAGAATCAGTGACGATCTATAAGGAAGAGGTCATATTGCATTTAATAAGAGTCAGAAGATAGACTTTTGCAAAATTTTGGAAAGCTTTACCTGTTCTGCCTAAACATAGTTGGTTAGGAAAATTATTTAGGGCTCTATTATAATTATAATTGAGCTTTATTAAAGTGTGAAATTGCTGACATATAAGTAAAAAATGAGCAGAAGGGATCTACCACATTCTTTCTTGTGGGCATTGGTAATAAGCTGTATAATAATAACTGTATGCTGTCAGGTCAATTCTGTAAGTAAGGCAAAAGCCAAGTTGCTGAACACATCCTCCAAAACCGTTTTCACAGATTGTTCTCTCAGGAAAACCTGGAACCATCATGAAAAACACATCTATACCAGGGGATCAAGCAGGAAGTCCAAAAGAACAAGAAGGAACTTATACATCCTAGATGGTTCATAATCAACCAAACAGGGAGGGTGCCTTGTCCAAATTTGCACACAGTCTGGCACTGTTCTTGACACAGAACGCTGTCTACAGCAGGCAAAGCTCTCTCTGCCCTAAAACCAGATGGAAGTGGGACACCAGATTGAAACAGATCTCGATCAGGAGGAGGGAGACGGAAGGCTAGAGGGAGATGGATGATGTCAAAAGGTTGGATTCTTCACCTCCCTCTATCCTGATATCACCACTTCTCTGAGGAGTATTTCCAGCCTTCCTGTGCTGAAAAAGACATTGACTTTTGCCTTTAGATCTCAGACTCCTCCCTCAGAGCTTGAGAATTTGTTTATCCTCCTCACTGAGGATGCAAGAAGGGAGGGAAGAATACATACATGTGTTATTTCCCTTGGCTGATCAGAAATAACATTCATCTTGATGCCGCACACTTTTCCAAAGGGAAGGGCAAGTGGGTGAGGGGAAATTTCCAGCAGGCTGAAGACAAGGCTTCAGGGAGGGCTTGGACTTGGAGAGAGAGAATACATGTTTGGATAAAATGGTCATAGAAGCTAGCTGAAAAGCTCAAAAAGCACAGTAGTCAAGGATTTGATTCCTCACTGTGCTTTTTGGGAGAAGAGCCAGCCTGTGTGGCCTTTGGCAAGCTGCACAATCCC